TCGGTATCGATTGTAGATCACGCTCCACGTATTCTTTTTAAAAAAATATTCAATGTACAGTTTTGACTTTTCTACGATTTTATTATATGTATAGAATAGAAAAGATAACATAACATAACAAATCACGCCTTTTATCCCTGAAGGAGTAGGCAGAGGTCCACATTACGGCACTTAATGCCACTATAGGTACAGGTAGGTGCCTACAAAGTAACACCCGCATTTCACTTCTTATGTTATGAGCCCCATGTAATAGGGGGTGAGCCTATTGCCATATACCGGGCGCAATTTCAGACTCCGTGCTACTACTACGATTATTTTTAAGCCCAGTAGTACATTGCCCGGCCCGAATCGGACCCGAGACCTTTTGCCCGAATCACACTTGCGACCACTCGGCCAACGAGGCAGTCACTTTTGTATTTTAAGCCTTATCAATAGTAGTTGACCTTGGAACAAAATAATATCATGTATCTTTCAATGAATTAAAATTTAATTATGTAAAGAAAAAAACAAGTATTTCAGGTCATTAAACCTTAATATTTAACATCACGCCTTTTATCCCCGCAGGGGTAGGCAGAGGTGCACATTACAGCACTTAATGCCACTGTACAGCGTAACACTCACTTTTTACCGCCTTCAAAAAAAGGAGGAGGTACTGTGTTCGGCTGATTGTTTTTTTTTTGTGAACTGTACTCCACCATTTGTGAACCGATTTCCATTATACTCCCGAAATGCTCCCATTTCCATGAGGTCAGGATCTGATGATGGAATCCTAGTGACGTCACGCGACATTTCAAATCAATATATCGTGGAAAGTATTCGTTTCTGTAAGAAAATAAAAAATACGTGTATAATGATTTAAAATAATCTACCAGACGGACATTCAAATAAAAATAAGGCATCTACCTTATTATTGAATTCGTACCAGTGGTTTCTAAGACGTGAACGTCAATTAGATCTACGTTAATTTGTAACCAAACATTCACATTAAGTAACGGATATGTAGTCAAACAGTCATCTTCAATTGTTTCACACGACTTTTTACGAAGTGGTTTTGTGTTTTATCTACACTAGGCAGTTGGAACACCAACTGCCTATATTATCATTTCATTTGTCTATATTAAAACTAGTCGAGTTCCTAGTCAAAGATTTACGTGAGAACATAATAATTCTTCAATTTGTCATTTATTTCCTATAAATGTAAACTTTATTACTGACACATGGCTTCGCCCTCGTTACCAGGGTGAAAAGTAACCTATGTCTTATTCCACGTACCGCCTAAAAATGTTTTTCTCACCCTTTAAACCTTACCTGGACTTCCACGAACATTTCAAGACCAAAATTAGCCAAATCGGTTCAGCTGTTCTCGAGTTTTAGCGAGACTAACGAACAACAATTCATTTAATTATTTATATAGATAGATTAAGTATCAGGTTAGAATTTGAAGTTGCTGTTTATATTGCTTTTATATTATCGTTATTGCTATTGTTGTTTATATTAAAACTTTTGCGAGACATAGCTACTTAATTAATTACTATGTTCTCATTTATTATAATATATATATTTACTATAGTATTTCTTAGCAGCGCTGTAACAGTCACCGAATTGCGTGTCATAGTATACTGCTCATGAATATTAGCCTCTGGAATGGCTTAAATAGTTTCAAGCCTTGCCAGAGTTCGCATAGATGTCGAAAACATAATAATTAATTAAGATTCTTGGTGTTGAATTGTATATTATATTAAAGAAGGCTTATTAGTATAGATTATTATCAACCTAATAATTGTGGAACCAGGAACCATGCACGAGTAGCTATATGAGATATTTTATAGCTACTAAATGAACGTCTTTCAATGGGTAATAGAATAAATGGACAAGCCTGACTTTTTGAGGAAATTCGTAACCATTATTGACAATATTAATATACAATTTATGTATATGATGATGATGATGATGACAACCGAAAAATGAATGACAGGAAAACAACAGGCGCGTAAACATATTTATAAACTAAATACGCGAGCGGATAATAATATTACATTTAAAAAATATTCCTATTATTGGTACTTATCGGGAAACAACAAAGCTATATTTAGGAATGACCTGGTGTTTATTTGGATTTACCTAAATTTATCTTTTTTTTTTTTTTTTTAATTCTAACAAACTATTTAGGGGCTTTTATCACAGATATGTCAGCCCCATCGTACCCTTTACATTACTTTACGTACTTAACATTGACTCACTTGATTAATTGTTATTCGTGGAGGACCAAAATCAAATAGCACAACTTTTTCATAATCGCTGAAGATGGTACAGATAAAATCGATTGTACAATGCCTACATCAAATTTATTTATTTTAAAATCCTTCACGAATATCTCACGTTCTTCTCCATTCCGAGCACACTCCATCAGCAAATGTTGGACATCTTCAATTTGACCACAAAGTGTACAGTTAGGAGAATCGGTCTTTTTCATAAGAAATGCATACTTCGCCGATGGATAGTGTCCTGAACGGAGTCTTAATATTAATCTAACATAGTTTCTATCCAAATTAGTATTCTCAAACCAAGGAACACGATTAGGCCGACCTTGGATGCTTTTGTACCAAATACCTTTATCCATAGATAATTTGAAAAAATGACTTTTCCACAAATTAAAGCATGTGAGTTTGTATTTACTTGTATATTCCCAATAATCAGGTACGTAATTAATTATACATCCCTCTACTGCTGCCGACCTGGATATACGGTCGGCCTCCTCGTTTCCGTTAAGTCCAATATGTGCTGGAACCCACTGCAATCTACATTCAATATCATTATTTTTCAGTATCGTTATAACTTTTAGAATATCATATGCTATCGAAGTACCTCTGCTGTAGCCAGAGGCGCATCGAGCAATATGTTGGAGTGCGCTTTTACTATCTGAAAAAATTACTGCTTTATTCAAATTTTTATTCAAGACGTAATTAAGTGCTTTGTAGATTGCTATGAGTTCCAGCGACATAATGGATACATCACATTTAATTTTATATCCAAATCTGTTGCCTAAGCTCTGGTCAAATAACCCCGCTCCTTGTCCCTGGGGGCTTTTAGATGCGTCAGTGTAAATTTTATGCCATCCGAAATATAACGTATTCAGTTCTGCTATAATCTCATTCAGCAACATATTTTGGTTGTAATTACGTTTAGCGGTGCTTAAACTTTTGAGTTTAATTTTAATATTTTTTGTATTAATGGATGTCCAAACTTCTAGACTAAACATTTTTAAATATTCTGATGCTGTAATTTCCAAATGTCTGACGTCATTATACACTTCAACAAGCAATGGTATTTTTTTATTTTGCCAATAAGAAGTACGACATAAATTACTCAGATTGGATACAAGATCAATTGTGACATTATTTGACCACGATCGGCTTTTTAGACAAAATTTGTATGCTAAATATTTTCTTCTCAAAAATAAAGGTGGGATACATAAATCTGATTCCATTACGTGAATAGGGGAGCTTTTAATATAACCTCCTATGATTCGTAAGGCCTGATTTTGCAGTTTGTCAAGTTTCGATAAATGTGCATTGGCACTGCAGTCATATAGAAACGAACCATAATCCAGTCGGCTTCTAATTAATGAGATGTATAATTTACGTATATGTTTAATATGTATACCCCAAGAGCTCCCAGTTAATAGCTTTAATATATTCAGAAATTTTGAGCATTTCGCGATTGTTTCATTTATGTGTTTACTCCAGCGTAAACTTTGGTCCAACCACATACCAAGATATTTAGTGCATGATGAAAATGGTATAGACTCTTCATTTATTTTAAGACAAGGTTGTATTCTACGTTTACCCCTGCTAAATACACAATATGTAGTCTTATTGGTAGATAGTTCAAGACCAAGTTCGGCTAATGACACGACAATATGATCTAATGTGTTTTGAATATTCATTGCGCATTTCATGATATCCTTATCTTTAACATATATTACGAAATCATCAGCATATTGTGATATTACTACAGGATTAAAGCGTGATTGACATATTTTGTATGTAATTAAATTAAAAAGTAGCGGGGATAAAGGGTCTCCTTGCGCTAAACCTTTATTACTCCATCGATCTGTTATTAAATCACTGAATTCTGTTTTAAGTCTTAAATGTCTCTCATTCAAAAAAGACCATATATAATTACAAAATTTTGATCCAACTTGAAGTTCATCTAAAACTTTGCCTACTACATCAACTGATACATTATTATATGCATTTTGAATATCCAGGAAACAAGCTATCGTAGGTAAATTTTTAGAAAAGCCATTCTGTATATATGTAATTAGGCGACTTAAAGAATCTAAACAAGACAATGATTTTCTAAATCCAATATTGAGTGGTGATAAAATATTTCTTCTTTCAATGTACCATTCTAGACGTTTTACTAACATTAAATGGAATATTTTGCATAAACATGAAATTAGGGATATGGGTCTTAATTTAGGGTCAGATGTTGTATTTTTTGCTTTAGGAATAGGTATTATCTGTATGTTACGCCACTGAATAGGTACAACGCCTGAAGTAAATATTTTATTATATATATGTAGTAAATAAGCTTTTGCTGGGTTGGGAAGATTATAAATCATGGAATAGGAAATACCGTCCTCACCAGGTGCCGAATCTTTTTTTTTCAAACTAGTTTTTAATTCCTGGATATCAAAATCACACTCAAAAGTTTCATTTCAAGATACAAATATAGGTCTTTTGTTTGTTACATAGTCAGGAGTCAATGATTTTAGTAGCTCGTTTTGTTTATCGATAGGAGGATAGATGGCAGATTGTTTATAACCCTTCATCCACCGCATACGCCGCCACATATCATAAACAGATACTGTATGGTCAACAGAATCACAAAATCTCTGCCAACCCAATGATTTCGCTTTCTGACTTGCAATATGAAATTCTTTAATTTTAGCTTCCAATTTGGACAAATTATCAGGGGTTGGATTACGGCGGAACTTGGCTAGACATAACCTTCGTTGTGCAACAAGGTGGGACAATTCAGGTGTCCAGTAATCTTTTGGTTTGAATTCTTTTGTGGGTTTAGAACTATATTTATTGAATGGAATATATTTATCAGCTGCCAGATTTATTTGATGTATAAAAAAGTCGTAAGTACCTTGGATATTGATGTCATCATACTGCACACTAAAAGTTTTAGATAGAAATTCTCTATATTCCTTCCAATCTGCCTTTTTGTAATTCCTTTTCCTATGTATCGGGAAATCATCCGGTATTGTGATTGTCATTTTAATTATCAGGTGATCACTACCTAGGTTTTCATTGAGTACTTTCCAACCGAATTTGATTGCGATATCAGAAGTAGCAAATGATATATCCGGTGACGTTTTTTGCAATGTACCATTAACTAGTTTAATTCTGGTTGGTGAGCAACTATTAAGTGAAACGAAGGAATTTTCAAGCGACGAATCCAGTATTTGAGTGCCTCTGATATCTGTTTTGATAGACCAGTTAGAGTGATGACCATTGAAGTCACCGGCTATTAAAGTTTTATTTGGGAAAAGAGAGAAAATTTGTTCCCAGTCCGAAGGTTGTGTTACAACTGAAGATGGACAATAAACTGCAACGATATATTCTAAATCTTTACAATTGATCAACTTAGCACTTATCACTTCTATACCTGAATTCAAAACCTGAAAAAAATTTGAATGTGACCGGATGGATTTATGAATGAAAATAGCAACACCGCCGTAAGAATCATATCTGTCTTTTCGATAGATGTTATAGCCACTTACGTTTAAGTCAATTTCACTGTCTAGCCACGTTTCGCTTAGGATCGCTATATGAATTTTTTCTTTATTTAATAGTTCTGTAAATGAAATCATTTTGGGCCGCAGAGAATGCGAGTTCCATTGGATAATGTTGATGCCTATATTTTTGTTTGTATTATGCATTTATAAATTCAATAATGTTATCTAACCAGTTTCCTTTTAGCAAAAGATTGAATACAAATTTCTTTAGCTCTTCAAATATGTTTTTAAACAACAACAATATCTTTTCTTCAAATGTCCCTTCTGATGTAAATATTCTATTAATTATAATTAAAAATTTCTTCAATTCAAATCTTTCAAGTAATTCTTTATCTTTTTGACTGTCTTTGTCTTCAGATTGTGATGGAAAACTCTCATAATTATATTTTTCCGTTGTTCTATCTGTCTGAGATTGGTTTTTCTTGCTTTGCATATGTTTGTTTGTTTTTTTCTCAAATGACTTATTTGTGGTGTTTTGTTGCCATTGTACGTCACTTCCTTCCTTCTCCTGAATAATGTGTGAAGGCTTCTCCGGTCTGCGTTTTTGTAGTGTCTTGATAAGCACGCTGCTATATGTTTGAGATTCGTTTAGTGGGTTTGTAGGAAGCGATGACTTTTGCATTGTATTTTGAGAAATAGTTGTCTCTTGTTGTTTACCAAGAAGCAGTTGAAGTGCTTTTCTGTAGGGTACCTGCTCTGTACTCATGATATTTCTTATATCCTTTTCTTTCAAATATAGAGGGCATTTTTTGTCTAGCACAAAGTGATTTCCTTTACAGTTTAAGCACGAAATATTACTTATATCGCAATTTGCGTGGTTTCCACCACATTTAGGACATATTTTTTTCTTTGTAGGACAGTATTTTAGGACATGTCCGAATTGCCAACATCCAGAGCACTGTGTTACGGGGAACACGTAGGGGTCAACTTTTAAACGGCAATCATATGCGTAAATATGTGATGGGAGATTATTACTTCTAAAACATACTCTTATAGACTCACAATCAATCCATTTATTCTCAGAATTAAAGCGTCTCAGTCTTTTGACTGATACTATCTCTGTACTGCATTCCAATATATCCATTATATCATTTTCTTTTAATTCAAGATCCACCCCTTTCACTACCCCGTAGGATAGGGTCATCTCATTTAGTAGTTGGCATCTCCATCCCATATCTTTAAATTTTTGACATTCCATTAATTTAGTGGCATCTTCTTTTTCTTGAAACTGAATTAAAACTTTGTTAACACTTTTATATTTTATTCTTGTAACATTCTTAATATTTTCACATCTCAATAATCGGGCAAATGCCATTTGTTTAGGTAAGTTTTCTAAGGAAGTTACACACACCTCAATACTTGCAAAGTTGTTCATTTCATCATCTTTTTTTTCCGAATCTACCCTCAACTGATTTTGTGACCCTGCAGAGTTACTTCTAATTAATATTTTCTTTCTCCTATTCACAGTAATAAAGTCATCTTCATCATTAAGATCATCTTCTCTCTCTTTTCTCTTCTCAGGCGTTTTCTTTTCACTTTCTTTATGCATTTCAACTCGCGTAATTTTTGGGTCCAAAGATTCGTCATAGTCTTTTTCACAATTTAGTAATATTTCTATATCATTTCCATCTTCGTCTTCTCCACTCTCCATTTTAGGTTGTAAAAAGTTTAAAGTTTAAACTAAAATTTATCTAGAAAAACTATTCGCGGAAGAAATTAATAAACACAACAGCGGGTCGGTAAAATCAACCGTGCGCTACGGTTCCGCGACGCATACTGCTAAATTTATCTTTAGTTAAGACTACGTGATTCTATAGTACCTATGTACATACTTGAATTTGTTGAAAATTTAAATTATTATAGTTGATCAATAGCGCGGTGTTTGAAATATAGGCAACAGGGTAGATGCCTAATTTTTATTTCAATATCCGTCTGGTAGATTATTTTAAATCATTAGACACGTATTTTTTATTTTCTTACAGAAACGAATACTTTCGACAATATATTGATTTGAAATGTCGCGTGACGTCACTTCTATGTACATTTTATACGTAGAAATGACGTTTTAGCCCCCCACTCCTCACTTTGATTCGTTTTATCTAAGTGTTGTTTTATTATACGACAAAATTAAAAATACTTGTCTAATATTTTTTCATTATTTAACTCGTCGAGTACCGGTTTTGTAGACACAATTATAGAACAATAGGTTGCGGTCACCGGTGACCGCTTGGTGTTTGACAGTTTATCTTCGGACTAATTTGATTCTTAATTTTCATACCCTGTCATCATCCCAATTAGCTTCTGCTAGCTGTTTTGCCCGCGTTCCCGTGGGGCAAAAGTGATCTATGTGTTATTGCAGACTAGATTATACTCCTGTTCCAAATGTCATCTAAATCTGATCAGTAGTTTTTGCTTGAAAAAGTAATAAACACACATACACACACACACTCATACATCCTCACAAACTTTCGCATTTATAATATTAGTAGGATATACTGTCTCGGTGGCTTAGTGGTCGCAAGTGCGACTGCTGGGCAGGGCCTCGGGTTCGATTCCCGGGTCAAGCAAAAGTATTACTAGGTTTTGTAAATAAAATTGCCTGTGGTAGTACGGAGTCTGGAATTGTGTCCGGTATATGGCAATAGGCTCACCCCCATTACATGGGACTCATAACATAAATAGTGAAAAGTGAGTGTTACATGACTGCCTCGTTGGCCGAGTGTTCGCAAGTGCGACTGCCGGGCAAGGGGTCTCGGGTTCGATTTCCGGGTCGGGCAAAGTTTTACTGGGTTATTAAAAAAAATCTCAGTAGTAGCACGGAGTCTGTAATGTGCCCAGTATATGACAATACGCTCATCCCCTATTAAATGGGACTCATAACATAAATAGTGAAAAGTGGGTGTCACTTCTGTGTGCACCTCTGCCTACCCCTTCGAGGATAAAGGGCGTGATGTTATGTTATGTGGGTGTTACATTGTACAGTAGCATTATGTGCTGTAATGTGCACCTCTGTCTACGCCTTCGGGGATAAAAGACGTGACTTTATGTTAGGTTAGGATGTACTAATTTGGCACTAAATAGAATCATCCTTCTATATATGACCTTGATAATAACCGAAGAGAAAAAATGTGTATATATTAGGGGATTAAAAATTTTACAGTTTTAAAGTCTCATAAACTAAAAACCACTACGTTCCGGCAGCACATATGACTGTGTAATATTATGTTCATATTACTGAAAAAACAAAATGTTGAAATCTACTCTTCGATACACATTGTCAATACAAGACCACACAATTGATTTGGTCTGCTATTGTCAATTTGTATCGACATATTCTATGGAAAACCTTCAGGCCATTTGAATTGTGACGACATTATGACGCATTCGAATGTGTGTGCTATTCACGAATACCAATAACCATTTCTGGTACTGTTTGGAAACACAATACAACATAAATAAGGATTTAGTTTAAGACTTCGGAGGCCTAATTACCCTCCCCTTCCCCAATCTCCCTAATTCCTGAAACCCCAACGATCCTCAAACTGCTAATCCCCAAAAGGCGGGTAACGCACTTGTACTGGCGTTCCAGGTGTCAATGGGCAAAAAAAAAGACTAAAGAACCCCGGGAACTTAGTTCGCATTGGTCTAGTATTATTTTCTTCCTAAAAAACATTCACCAAACTATAACAAACCCAACCAATAAAGAATTAACAAGGAGGAAAATCATCGAATGACTTCTCCTGTCTAGGTGAGGCGAGAGGGAGTGTCAGACTCTTACTGACTAAAAACCACCCCGTTCCTACTCCTGCACTTCGAGCCGGAGCCCCAGTTAACCGTTAAGTTCTCTGCGGCAAGATTTACGCTTAGCAACGCATTTAGCGATTCATTTTATGTTATATAGATTATAAAAAATATTCTTAAGGCGTTCTTATAAAGCTACAACTAATAAGACCAAGGCTGAGATTCATCTTATCTTTTGGGATCTAATCCTTAAGGTCTGCTTATACCTATACAGTTTATGAAAGTCCACAAAACAATAATTTTGTAATACAAAACACACTAACAATTATTTTCGTATCCGATCAAGCGAGAATATCGCACGGCTGTCACTATGGCGGACATTTGATCAATAAATCAACAGAAAAAATGTCAAACGTTCGATAAATAAAACAAAATAGTCGAGTAACATTAACAAAACAAAATAATGTTTGAGCCTTTGACTGCATTATATAACTGAAAATTTTCCGCTAACCTCGGTTTCTGATGACCTCCGTGGTGTTTAACGTGTTGAATAATGTATTTTTTTATGCCATAAACGAGCAGACGGGTCACCTGATGGTAAGCAATCGGCGTCGCCCATGGACACCTGGAACACCAGAGGCATTACAAGTGCGTTACCGGCCTTTTGGGGATAGGAGTTTGAGGATCGTTGGGGATTCAGGGATTGGGGAGATTGGGGAAGGGGAGGGTAATTGGGCCTCCGGTAACCTCACTCACACGACGAAACACAACGCAAGCGTTGCTTCACGTCTGTTTTCTGTGAGGCCGTGGTATCACTCCGGTCAAGCCGGCCCATTCGTGCCGAAGCATGGCTCTCCCACACTTAAAACCTACCACCTATTTCCACAAACCAAGTGCATAAAAAGGCCTCATAATCCAAAATGCATTTACAGTTTTGGATTGTGGATCACTGGTGCCTGAGGTAGTTAAAAAAACCTGGGTTATAGGTCACCAGGTCTCTTTAACGGGTTAAACATATAATAAATAACCATTAAAGCATAACTATATTAAACAATAGCTGACGCGGTAAGCTTCACACCACCTTAAAAAAAAATTATTATCGTTTAAACCTTCCCTCGAGTTTTAGCAAGATTAACGAACGGAAATTTATTTTTATTTATATAAATAAAAATAATATATAATTATGTATAATTTTATTATATATAATTATAAAAAAATATGTATAATATTAAATAATTATATATAAAAATAATGAAATTTATTTTTATATATCCAATTATCACAATTCTCACTGTCAAATCCTTTTTACCCAGATTCGAGGAGACATCAGTCATATACCCAACTTGCGCATCCAACGACACCTCCTGTCTGGGTGGGTTCGCTCGTCTCTATCAGGAAATCCAGACTCTGTTGAAGGAACGTCCAGGAGCACTACTCCTGAATGCTGGAGACACTTTCCAGGGGACCTACTGGTATACCTTGCTGAAGTGGAATGTTACCCAGAGGTTTATTAATATGCTGCCTAACGATGCTCATGTAAGTACTGCTATGATTTCCTTTGTACTAAGAACTGAGAATTATGTTACTTTGTAGCATCAAAAACAACAACATTAGCACCCTATAAATGCCCACTGCTGACCAAAGGCTGGAGATGCTCAAACCTACTGTCACACGGAGTAGGTTTGAGCATTAATCGCCACGCTTGTTTAATGGGGGTTGCCAATTTCAACTTATAATTAGAAATTATAAGCTTATTGGTGGTCCAGAGGTTTAAGACGCCAGCTTCTCATGCACGAGGGCGCGGGTTTAAAACCAACGAACGTCAAGTACCAATGTAAGTCTATTATTTTACCTTGTTATTTAGACCCTACTGACACACGGTGAAGGAAAACATCGAGAGGAAACCTGGGCTTATAATTTCTCACCATAAGTTTGAAATCGCCAACCCGCATTGAGCAATAGCGATGAATGCTCAAAGCTTCTCCATGTGGGAAGAGGACTTTAGTCAACAGTGACCACTTATAGACTGTTGATGATAATAATGATATTAATATGTTGGAGAATGAAGAATTTGAAGTATCTTAACAACACTTACATCTTCTTGAATAATTTCTGAAGAACCTAGATAGATCTTGTACTTGTACCCAGCAGTTTTATTCAATATACCATTAAGAATACTATGTTCCAGAACGATTTTTAACAATACCCTTTTTTTCAAGGCCCTAGGCAACCATGAATTCGACGACGGCATACCAGGACTACTACCGTATATCAGAGCGATGAAGGCACCAGTGCTTGCAGCCAACCTGGCCAGCAGCAACGAGACAGGATTGAATGGCTACTACCAGCCGCATGTGGTAGTGGAGAGAAAGGGACGGAAGATTGGCATCATTGGACTTATAACTAAGTCTACTGAGGTGGGTGAAAAAAAAGTTCTTTAGTAAAATCTTCTGATGATGAAGATAATTCAATTGTTTGGTTCGGTTCTGTAGTTCTGTTGTGACTGCCTCATTGGCCGAGTGGTCGCAAGTGCGACTGCCGGGCAAGGGGTCTCGGGTTCGATTCCCGGGTCGAGCAAAGTATTACTGGGTTTTTTTCAAAATCTCAGTAGTAGCACGGAGTCTGAAAATGTGCCCGGTAGGTATATAGCAATACCCCCTATTACATATGACTCATAACATAAATAGTGAATAGTGGGTGTTACATTGTATAGTGGTATTAAGTACCGTAATGTGCATCTCTGCCTACCCCTTCGGGGATAAAACGGCGTGATGTTATAATGTTATATGGTTCTGTAGTTAGATGCAGTGTTATCTTCTTTCCTAAGTTATTTTATTTTGTAAAATCCTTTTCTATTAAAAGAAGTCGCAGTTTTCGTCAGACTATTTGAACCTAGAGGTATATGTGCATATA